CTTTCTCGCGTTTTGCCAGAGGGATGAGATAGGGGACGTTAAATGGATCGATGAAGATTTACGAGCAAGCCATGCGCCTAAATAGGTAATACCAGCGATAGTATCGATAATCCATGAGATATCTGGTTTAATCATTCATCAGGATACGATGCGTGTAATAGGAATAATATCACGCTTCCGTATAATGCACGTGTATCTAGCCATCCGAATATTAAATATTAACGCCTAGGCTTCGAGAATCGAGACCCAAAAGGGAGATCGATGTTTGAAAATTTTTAAAAAAATCTATGGCAATACACAGTTCGATGAACCGTGTAAATGAGAGAAACGTTTCAGTAGCGGTCAACGTTTGAGAAGCATTTCGCGTGTTACTTTAGACACGGAACAAAAAAACGAACACCATGAAGCGCACCGTCGCGCCGAGGCCGTGTAGAAGAGAGTAAACGGTTGACTCGCCTACAAGAGGTTGTTCCTACGAGTTGCAGGCTCGTTGCATCCGCGAAACAATGTATGCTAACGAATCTCTTTCTCTCTCTGTCTCGAAGAACCTCGGTTCTGGTTTCCCTAGCAAAATATTTCTCGCGTTGCGTTTCCTAAACACAAAAAAAAAAAAAAAAAAAAAGAAAAGAAACGACACAGAAAACGAGCTTTACGGCCGCGAATAAGGGAATAAAGCAGCCAGCACCAGCACCAGCCGACAACGGCTTAATTATTCGTGGCGGCGCGCGATCCCGCGTCGTATTATTTTCTCGTCCTTCTTGGAACGCTCAGCAGTCCGTGAAGAAACTTACTTACTCGTCGAGAATCCTTGAAAATGTCTATAGCCGGTCGGCTCGCCCGCCGTTGTGGATTTTTCGCGCGACCTGACAATTCGCGAAACGTTCATCGACGTGTGATCTGGTGTTTTCATTTTTCTTCGTTTTAATACCAAGATTGGATCTTAACCTTTGCAACACTGTCTCACGTTCTTACGTGTCTTCTGATCTTCTTCCTCTTGACACATTGTAATCCATACATGAAGAGCATAACGTATTATTATTAACCAATGATCGTAGGTTCTATAGAAAATTATTAAGACGTACAGAGAGAAATATTTTACACAGTCTCAAATAATTTTGTAGTTTATTCTGTAGATGTCTTTAATATGAGATACTTATCGATATTCAGTTTTATAATATATTTTTTATAGTTCATATGTTTTACAACTAGCTCTAAAGACACCAGAGTTTAATCCAAAATTAAGCGACTGTCAGAAATCCTATCGTAATATTAACGAAATTTCTAAATGTTTCGTATTCGAAAGTTTCCTGCGCCAAAATAAAATTTATTAACCAAGATTATTACATCGTTGAGGGTAAACAATCTGCGTTGCACGCCCCTTTTATGTAGGTACGTTCGTAATTGCTCTTTAATGTAACTAATTAACAAAGCACCGTTGATAAGTGTATGTTATTAAGCCTGTTTACCGAGCGTCGGAGTAAAATAACTACTGCGTCGTACAATATAGATGCAACCTCGGGACGTTGACTCGAAACGAAAAGTCAATAAAATACAGAGAAAGTTGGTAGGCAGTGGACGGACGTCTGGGGATGTCCGGTGCGTTCGTATGATTCACGTTCGTCGACGAGCTTCAGCTATACACTCGAAGCCAACCCGATCATTTGCCTCTAATCGATGATTAATCCATCCTCTTGCAAGGCGTCGACATGGTCGAGTGCTTCTTCCAATTGACCAACTGTGTACGCGCTCACTGATCTACTTTACTTCTCCGTTTGCATCGTTCGTTTCCAGACCCTTGGAAAATTCGATTCACCGCGACTTCCGCTTACGTAGGAGTACTTTCTGGACATAAAGTCCGCGCTTTCGAAATTACGAATTTGTAGTCTTACGAAATGCCTCGCGATCGTTTGTGGTATTTCATTTGATCGCTCGACATTAATTTACCATCAGTTTAAAAAATTCGGTAGAATTCTGTGTACAATTCTGCTACAAATCTACTAACGAATCTACTTGTATGCAATTGTATGTCCCTTGATTCGATAATACTCGGGTAGCATAATAGGAAGGACCGACGTTCTCGTCTTGTCTTGTTATTTCTTAACCCGTCGTTCCGCTTTCCAATCGAGGAAATTCGAACGAGTTCGAGAAACTCGTCGAACTGTGCTCTGCGGATGTTTGCGATTCTCCGTTGATTAATTTACTCCTTTATGTTCGATCTCCGATCGCTTGGCTTTGTTCGATCTTCGAGAAACTTGCTCCCATTCGCGTTAAACAGGACTCGCGTTAGCAAGATGTTAGGTGAAACGAACGACCACGACGGTACGATCGAGTTAACTCGAGAATGAATCATGAATGGAATCATTCTGTATTTACTTGGAATGAATTAACGCAATTTCCATGATCGTCGGACGGCACGGTGTATGCATATTGTAGCGGCGCGACGTTCGTTTAAGTGGCTGATCATAATTATAAGCGGCGTCTAACGGGGAAGGTTGATTCACTGCGACTTCCGCTTATATGGTGACCCGGCTCTAACTAGCCGATTTATGAGCACTCTCCTACTCTCTATGCTGCCACTAAGCCGTTCCTAAATATGTGCTCACTTTGATCAATTTATGTTAACCTGAACCTTAAAACATCTGTGCTAATTATCTTTGTTTCGTGATCTTTGCCAATTGTCTGTTTGACTACCAGCTCTATTTTATTATTAATCGGGAAATCACGGTTATTCAACTTTTAAATGGTCCCTTACTTCGCGAAAGCAAATGAAAATGTCATATCTTTTTACGATTCGATTTACTCAGCTTTACCTCGAAATTTTCTAAGACGAATTGGAATTTATTTCAATGTTCGTGATATTCTAATTGAATCACGTTCTATCAAAGTGTAAGCAACTGTCCATGTACTTTTGAACGGCACTGCCGTAGAAGTAGAACTACCGAATCCGTTTTTCGTATGCCAAACGTGCGTTTCCTGTTCTCGACACTGGAATTCCATGCGTATCGGAGTTAATCATCGGCGACAATTAACTCTGATACGCGGAAAAATGAGCAATGGGTCGGCGTGTCTATCTGTAAACCACGCACACGTGTTCCTCCGTTATAAGTGTCGGGGAAACTTCTCGTACACGTGTCCCCCAGATCGAAAGAACGAACGGCAGACAATCGCGGATAAATCGTCAAAAGACTCGCGATTGCGTAGTCACATTGTCGTTGTTCTCCTGCCTCCAGGCAGCCTTCGTTAGCAGAGACGTGTCTTGCAATTTGCAAGAAGACCGTAATTAAGAATGAGTCCTCGTATGAGACTGGTTGGTGATTAGGAAACCTTATCTTGGTCGGGTCAGCGTTCATTCAAGACGGCCATGATTTTTTCACTCTCTTTAAACAGAAGAGTTGACACACTCGAGATGTTGAAATTGAAATGACGCGATGATTCATCCTTGCAGGCTCATTAAGAACTTACATCTAAGTTTATCGCTGAAATCTAATTTTTTTTTTAATTTCAATATTTAAAAGAAAAATTATTTAAATTTGTTGAAAT